GGGGGGGGGGGGGCTTGCCGGGCTCCCGAAGCCCTGAAGAGATTTGAGATGGAAGCCAGGCGCAGTTTTCAACTCCGCTCCCAGATCCCTTTCATCCCAACCCTGAACCCAGAAGTCCGACCCGTCTCGACAGGCTCTGTTGTCCGATCTGGGGGTTTCCGAAAATTAGGGGTACCTTATATAATAAGGATCCTACTATTTAGGGTACTATACTAGGGTCCCCTAATTTCGGAAACTCCCATCTGTTGTCCAACCAACACGCCGCCCGAACAGGGAGCTGCTGAAGAATGCTTTCAGATCCACTGTCGAACGGCATTTGGCGAGGCCGCGGCCTTCTTGTCAAAACAAATATTGCTAGCTTCCTGGTGTAGGCTTGATAGCATAGGCATCGCAATTGTTCCGTAAGCTAGTGTTTACACATCTTTTGCACTATCCGTAGAAAGGAGTACGTTGTGACTGTAGGTTGTAGGTCAGAAGCAATCACCTGTTTATTGCAGTTGCTGCTGCAGAAGCCCTTGCCTTGCTGTTACGGTTGCTGCCGCTGCTGCTGCTGGTGCTGGCGGCACTGCTGCTGGTGATGGTGGTTGTGGTTGTGGTTGTCGTCGTGCTTGTGCTGGTTGTGGTGGGTGTGAATGTTGTGGTAGTTGTGATTGTTGTGTTGGTGGCAGTTGTTGTTGTTGTTGCTGCTGCTGCTGCTGCTGCTGCTGTTACTGCTGTATTTTGGTATACATCTGCTTCTTGTTGTTGTCGGAATTGTTAATGTGTACAAATATTTACACGCAGAAAGCCTCGCCCATCTATATGCATATATGTGTATGTGCATGCGAATGTAGACATATGTGCATTGTTATATGTGGTGTATGCATATGTGCAGCATGCAGCTACATATGTCGACTTGAGACAATCTTTTATCAATCCTTGGGTCCCAGAAAAAGAGAAACTTATGAAATGACAATCAACAGAGCAATAGCAACAAGTAGGAGAAACACGATATTATATAAACGTGAGCGACGATGATACATATGACTAGGCTCTATGGCCTCTATGGGTGTGCCCGGGAAAACATGAATCTAAATGCGTAGCAGACGAACAAGATATGAAAAGTGAATAAACTATTCGCAGACCATGTTTTTCGCACCTTGTTAGTACTATGTTCATAGTGTTTCATGCTTTTTCGTATTTTTTGATATTATTCTTCCCTATCTCACCCAAGGCATGAGCCCTCCCCCTTACCGTCCCCGTCCCCAGGCCCCTCAGCACCTCGGGAACATAAGGAAGCCCTAAGGCAACACATATGGAAACCATAAGCAAAAATACGAAAAACGTTTGAACACGTACGAAAACATATGAAACATATTCGCAGCACGTAAAAAAACGGAAACATAACGAAACAAACAGGGCAAAACACCAGAAAGATAAGACACATATAATGAACAAATTGCAGAATTATGAAAAGCACTAGCAGGCCATGGCAGACCATGCTTTTCATGCTGTTTTGATCTCTTGTTGTAATTTTCCATATTTTTCTTCTGTTATCATCTTTTTTCACTTACTTTCCCAAAGGGCTGAGCCATTCGGCCTTCCGCGGCCTCCTCCCCGTCCCCAGGCCCCCGGCAGCCCCTTCGGGGAAAAGAAGGAAGCCATAAATGAACAAGCAAAAAAGAGTATGAAAGAGGTATGGAAAGCATGGTCTGCGAATACTTGTTCATGTTTTGGTCATAGTTCATACTTTTCCTACATATTTCAGACTTTCTTTCATGTGCAAATTCAAAAATACTTCTTGCCTATATACATATATATATATATATACGCACATGTCTACGATTATGTTTATGTTCTGTGTACGTATATGTAAGTATTTGTCTACATGTTTTAACATTGCTACATCTATGTCTGTGTCTGTGTCCATATCCATGCCCATGTCAGGGTCCATATATGTATATGTGTATATATATACACATCATGCATGTGTGTGTATGCATAGGTATATACACCCAGGGGTGATGTTGATGCCCGACTCCTTGCCAGGAGTACCATGTCCGACAAGTTGCCGCACGTTGCCGTGGAATTGCAGCAGGGGGCTCTTCTGCTGCAAGCAGGCGCTTGGAGGATCATGGGACTTAGTAACTAGGGTTATAAATAAGGTAGCTATAATTAGGGGTTTAGGGTTTAGGGTTTAGGGTTTAGGGTTATAAATAAGGTAGCTATAATTTAACCCCAATTAGGGTACTTATAACCTTACTTACTAAGTCCCATGACCCTCCATGCATGATCGCAGAACCGATCAGGTCTCATGTTTTGCGTGGCCGACGATCAAACACAACCAAAAAGTTTGGGCTGGAAGTTTTGGTGCTTTCATCATGAATGTAATCAGGTTTTTTTCCCACAGGAAAAGTATGCGCATTGTTTACCCCTTAGGTGTCCCTGTGCTGGCAGTACTGCCCCCATTGCGAGGGTTTCGGCCTGCAAGTTTTACCAGGAACCTCAAGGAATGCCAAGTCCTACAGCGGTCAACTCAAGCCTCCAGCAGTTGCGAGCCACCGAGGACATTCACGTGATCTTTAAGATCTCGGACCAGGGGGGTGGCATGCCCAAGAGTCTGCAGCGCGAGGCACATGGAGACCGATGGGTTTGGTTGCTCATCGTAGCCGCTGACGCAGATAAAACTTCTTCGTCATGGCCAACACCGTCAAGCCTCACCGCAAGTGCGAGTACAGTACTACGGGTACTGCTGGTACTTCCAGTGCTGCTCCTGCTACTGCTACTGCTACTGCTACTGCTACTGCTACTGCTACTCCTACTCCTACTCCTACTCCTACTACTACTACTACTACTACTACTACTAGACCAGAGTCAGAGATGCCCTTGCAGTTCGATGGGAAGTGTTTATAGAAACGAAGACTGACATGAAGTGTAAACATATCAGTAGCCACCACAACGGTGGCAATGTCAACCCCAGTCCTGATAGAGGCACAGGTTAATCTTGTGATGCACACAACCCCTCGAAAAGGTACAGCATGATTCCACAAGGACAGCGGTCCGGAAAGTGCACGTGGGAGTCTAGTGCTAGCAACAGAAGTGGAGATGCCAATGCAAACCAGACTGAACAGTCAGCGCCAACGGTAGAAAGCTAGCAGCTACACCTGCTAAAGATAAAACCCATGCTACGGCTGATGGAAGCCAGCAGAGGAATCATCCCTTTAAGCATGGGACCAGCCATCGCAATAACTATAGCTGCTGCGGAACCAAGCGGCTATCGGTATCATAAGTATCGCATCCATGCTGCTTCCGAGTCCCAGCAGCTTATGCGAAGCACCGCCTCAAAGCGGGCATACCATTAACAATGACCGTGGAGTATAGTTGCCACACCGGTGGCAGGCTTGGAAATATGGCTGGACAACCGTGGACGTGAACAAAAAGAGCCCTGAAGCCTTCCAATACGCGGAGGAGTCATGCAGCTGCTCGCCTGCATGTTATTAAATCCTGCAGGGGCAGACCTATACTGAAAATCTAGACCCGAAGCCCTAAACCCTAAACCCTAAACCCTAAACCCTAAACCCTAAACCCCTAAACCCTAAACCCCTAAACCCTCAAGAACCCTTCTCGCCCGAACCCGAAGTACCAAGCATCCCACCAGGCCCCTGAAGTCGCCCTTAAATGCAGGGAAGTCAAAATCTGGAGCCTCTTGTTTGGGTTTAGGGGTTTAGGGTTTAGGGTTTAGGGTTTAGGGTTTAGGGGTGTTTCTTGTGACATCTTACTATATAAGGAATTTGAAGATAGATGTGGTAAAGCAGCCATTACCCGAATAGACCCTTAAGCCAACCCCTCCCAAACAAGCTGCCGAAACTTCTACCCTTCCGGTGGCTCCAACTACCTGTTTTGTCAAGTTTTTACCTTTTGGTTTAACCCTGAGATGACAACCAGAACCCCTGAATAGACCCTGAACCCTACCCAGACTATATGGGGGTTTCCGAAAATAGGGGACCCTAATATAGTACCCTAATTAATAGGGTCCCTATTATAAGGACCTCAAAATAAGGTACCCCAATTTTCTGAAACTCCCATATAAAGTTTGCAAAACCCTTCCCCGTTTTTTACCTAGCAGGCAAGCCTAGACTTTACCGATGTATGTAGGCAGCATCATCTTGGCCAGCGCCTGCTGCTTACAGTGTGCTCCTTCGCACTATCTTGTATTTCATGAAAGGTTTTTTAACTGGTAAATTGTGATGGGTTGTTCCTACTGCTGAGCTAGACAACCTCGCATTGTAAGGGGTTGCTCCTGCTGCTGCGTTCTGAAGACGACTCTGTCTCCGCTTCTTCACGACACAATGCTGTGAGATGTGCACGGAAGGAAATCCGTTCTGTTGATCCTGCCCTGTAAGTTTTTGGCGGACCAGTTCCAGACCGCCGACGTTGCTGTGTCGAAGTGCTTTTAGGCCGCTGACTTGACCAGGGCAAGGAAGCCGTCATTCAGACATAGCAACAGCATGCTACTCATCGCCAGGATGCTGTTCCCTGTGGCATCGAATTGCTTACTTCTGCTTGAGTTTTGGCGCCGTCTGCGGTCCTTGGGTAGGGGCAGCGACGATGGAGTGTCGTTCTGCGGGCCTTCCCTCGCTGGCCCTGTCTAGACACTCCTAAGACTGAGTTCCTGCACCACGTCCACAACTCTTTGCGGGGCATGATGCTAAAGCGAGGTTTGGCTGGTATTGCACGTACCTCTGCCCGGTATGCACCGCCTTGCAATGCTCGAACCCCGAAAGCAGTTTCCGAAAGCACATTGGGGGAAGCGTTTTGGCCGTGGTCCGGCAAACGCGGGAAGCCCGACAAGGTGGAGAAATGTTGTGGTCAGGCTGTCCATGAAATGCTGACCCCGTCTCCTGGTGGTCTCCTGCTGGTCTCATGGTAGTGGTGGTTGCTTCCATGTCGTCCGTTTCGTAAACCCCAAAAAATGCATTCGGAACTTGGAACCCTGAGCACTAAACGTAGGAAGCTCGACCTGTCGCCAAGGCTGGGATCGTGGGATGGATTCCAAAGCGCCAGAGCCCGGGGCACAGTCTGGAAGCATTGGTAGCAAGGTAGTATTCACGCGGGTCCTTATTCGAGTTTCAGGGAGTCTCAGAAAGGTTTGGAAGCCTTTGAGGACTTAGGACTTAGGATCTATTTGGGGACCTGGGGTGCCGTCAGAGTGTGGAGTTGATTCTGCCGTTCGTTCGTAGTCAGGGCTTAATTGGACTTTTGCATTGGTGGTGTAGTGAGGGTTCAGGTTGCAAGGTTGAAAGGGGATTTTCGTGCCTTTTCGGTTGAGCTGGCTGGCCCTTGGGACCAGCCCGACCCTCCCATTTAGTTCAGTCGTGCTTTGCTGCTGGCCGGATGGGATGGGGGTGGATACAGGATGTGTTTTTTTCTGCCGGCTCGTGTTGCTTGTTCAGGTGGGCCAAAACAACTTGGGTGCTGCGAGGTGGTGCGGTCTGTTTTTCGTGGCATGGGATTTACGCCTTCGGGCGGCAGGGGTGGTGGTGGTGGTGGCGCCGCTGCTGCGGCTGCTGCTGCTTCCAGCTATGCCATTCCGATGGGCATCATTTTTCAAGTTATGTTCCATGCGGCAGGCTCAGACATGCTCAGAATTTATGTCACGGCTTGCTCCTAGGCGCAGCGAGCTCGCGGGATACGGCTTCGGACTTCCACTGACACGTCGGCAACTCAGGGCAGCTGTCGCAGCGATACTTCTTGAAGAGGGGCTGCCGCAACTTCAGTGAAAAAAGCTTGTGTCTCTTCGGAAGCTCCACATGTGAAGCACCAACCAAGTCTAAACCCCAATCTCTAAACGTGGTAGTGTGATGATCCGGTCGCCTCTTTTGTTGATGCTCCACATGTACTATGATAGTGACGGGTGCAATTGCTCTCAGCATGGCTCCAGTGCATAGTTTTTGGCTTGTTGGCATGATCATGACTCTACCCGCATGACGGCTGGGAATAACAGGAGTAAAGCGGTACAGGAGACGCCAGATACCCCCTCAAACCCCAGCTCCCCTACACCAACACCCGAAAAAGTCCCTAGACTTGCCCCTAAACCTAAACGCCAAAAATGTCCCAAGAGCCCTAGAACTTCATCCCCCCAGATCGGCAAGCCCCCCGAACCTGAGACCCCTAAACCCCAAATCCGGAAATGCTCAGGCCTGCATGCGCAGTACTTCGGAGGAGATGTTTTCATGCAGGCGCTGCCCGGCCGGGTCCCCGGCGTTCACAATCGACCTCCGGGTTTGAAGTTCTTTGGCTTAGAGGTTTCGGATGTTTTGTAAGTTTTGGGATTCTATGTTTCCCTTGGCTTTAGTGTTCAGGTCTTTGGGGGTTTATGACTTATTAGAGTGAGTAGTACTTCATCGCTGTAGGGGTTTAGAGGGATTTGGGGCTTTGGGATTTAGGGGGCTTGGGGCATGAGCGTCAGTATCTCTTTGGGTGTTCGGGTTTAGCAACTTCAGGGCACCTAGGTTTAGAAGTCCTCGCTTCTCGAGGCTTTCCGACTGCAGTTAGTGGTGACTGGTCAGAATGTATCGATGGCAGCCATTGCAGTGATGAGCACGGAGTACCCCAACTCCACTCGTGACAGCAGTGCAACGCGCATCAGCACCGTCTTCGATGCCAGCTTTTTGAGCAACAACACAGGTACAGGCAACGAGATGAACAGATCAACGTTTTGCAGCCCAGGTCATGGGACGGATCTAATCCTGATCTTGACCCACCTCAAGGAGGGGACGCCCTCCACGGAGTTCGACGATCTCTCAACACTCCTCTACAAGAAAGAGCGCAAGCCCGATCGCGAGCAATAGGAGGAGGCCTTGCCGTTGGGAGCATTTCGAGCTTTTTGGGCTTGCATCGACCATGCTCGATTCCTAGTATTTGTGTCGTGCGAATGATCTCAAGGCGCTTGAAATCATGAAATCTGTGGATCAGCAAGGAACGGACTGTTTTTGGTGTTGTGTGGGGGGTCATATTGAATCGCTGGACTTTGCAGAAAAGGGTTGCAAGTCACTTGGTTTCTTCGCTGGATGTCTCCGAATCTCCACAGGAAGTCCGGTCATTTTGTGACGGTTGTCATTGTCATCATCTTTACAATAACTCTGCCTGCAATTGCCTTTGCACCTTCGTCTCAGGTTCCGCAGTTCTAATTCTTTCCCATGACATGTGTACAAGCACTTGCCCATCATGGTTTTTTAATTTTTGCGGCATCGCATTGCCGCCGTCAGTTTTGCTAATTTCATTGTTGCTCGTCCGTACTGATCGTATGTACTTCTTGCAGCATTATACCAGTAAGAGTTGCGCTTTCTCTGTCATAATCATCGTCATCGTCGTCGTCATCATCCTCATCGTCATTGTGGTACTCCTCCACCTCCTCCTCCTCGTCCTCGTCCTCGTCATTTTCATCGTCCTCGTCTTCGTCATCGCCCTCGTCCTTTCATCGTCCTGGTGCTCGGCACCGTCCTCGTCCTCGTGCTCGACCTCGTCCTCGTCATCGTCCTGTCGTCGTCCTCGTCATCGGCCTGTCCCCGTCCTCGTCCTCGACCTCGTTCTCGTCATCGTCCTCGTCCTCGTACTTTTCCTAGTCCTCCTCCTCCTCCTCATCATCATCATCATCATCATCACCATCACCGTCATCATCATCAGTCTTCGCAGTTCAGGCTCCCTGCCGGCTCTGTGGCTGCTCACCTGGCGATGAGAGCATTGACCGGCACTGCATTCCCACGCAATGCACTTCCTTCGCTGGAGTTTGAAGATGCTGAAGGTCGCGATCTGTCGCATTAGACGGTGCGGCACAGAAAATTGCACACGCAAGCTTCGAGAGAAAGCATCAGCAATGCCATAATGCTCACGACGACTTCCAGTCTTACTCAGTGCTGCTTGGTGTCTCTACACCCATGTGTCTTTAAGGCTCTGTCGCAGCTGCACCGATGTCAGTCCGACGTCGTGGAGCCCAGTCCCCAGAGAGCCCAATACCCCTTAATTAAGGAATATACCTTAAACCATGACATTTAGGCCCCTATAATTGAAGGTATATTCCTTATTTAAGGGGCATTGGGCTCTCTGGGTCTTCCCCCAAAATCACTCTGAGCCCCTCTGTTGCCTTGCGTCGTCCCTGCTCCAGGCTCTTGAGGACGAGCAGAGCTCAGAGCTCATCTCCAGACCTAGAGAGCCCAACTTACCCCTTAATTGGGTTTAGGGTTTAGGGTTTAGGGTTTAGGGATTAAGGAGTATACCTTAAATCATATTATTAAGGCCCCAATAATTTAAGGTCTATTCCATAGTTATAAGGGGGTATTGGGCTCTCTGGGGAGTCCGCTTCGGCTTTTCCGGAGGCCGCCCTTAGTTAAAGCCCCGTTCTCCTGCAATGAAAAGGCGCGCGGCTCCTTCTGCAGCTCCAGGCGGACCTGCTCAAGATCCGTCCCGAACTGAAGTTTGACAGAGTTTCTTCCTGTCGAGTGTGGCTTTAGGCCGACTTTGAAGCCCTGGCTTCAGGCAAGGAAGCGCAGAATTCAGCCGCGCTGATCCCGGAAGATATCGCATGGCTTTCTTTAGAGCACCTCTGCAGGGCCCCGCCTTCGCTTCAGTCAGGTGCTCCGCGCAGAGCAGGAGCTGCAGAAAACCGCCAGAAGCAAGGGTGAACATGCCTCAGAGTAAGCAGGGTTTCTCACCAGCATTACCGCATGTCTGCGAGTGATCTTGTGATTTCTGCATGTCATTAGACTTGGGCCAACCTGGAGTTTCAAAGTCATGTGTATCAAGGTCAAGCTGAGGCCGTCAAAGTTGAAATTTCCTGGAGGCAAAGGGGCCTTGGTAATGGGTGCTTGCGGCCTCGTGTAGTGCGTTGCCCAAAAATGCACCGTGCAGTTGTGGTTGCGGCTACCTGACCGCTCATGAAGCCTGTAGGTTTCCAAACGTTGTTCAGGCCTTCAAGATTTCCATTATGTCCATGGCAGCAGCCCTGTGGCCACAGCCTTGGGTTTATGTTCTGCCCTTGTCCACCTAAATCCGCCCAGGAACCCTCAGAAGACCCCATATAAAGCCCTAGAGAAGCCCGACAGAAATCCCCTAAACCCTAAACCTAAACCCTAAACCCTAAACCCTAAACCCTAAACCCTAAACCCTAAATGCCAGCTGTCTCTGGCTGATTGCTGGGGTGAGGCCCAGCCTTCGGCTGCCAATGCCACGAATCGCAAGAAAGGCCGGAGCCTCGAGCTGCAAGGGTTCGGTAAGGGTTCCTACAAGAATCTAATATATATTATTATATTATATTACATTATATCATATTATATTACATTATATCATATTATATATATTATATCATATCATATTATATTATATTATACAAGGGCTAGGGCGAGGGGAGGGTGAGGGACTGAAGAGCCGAGAACAGGCAGGCCCATGCACGTGTGTGAGTGTATGTATTATATATGTATACACATACACATATATATATATANNATATATATATATGTATATATGCGTGTGCATGTATCTGCATATATATATATGTTTAGTATGTAGACACGCATCCATACACATATGTCGTAGCCCACCCAAAGATCTTAAGATCGGTGTGCACATGTATGTACCATATATACATACAGAAGCGTTCTATGCGTGGATGGATATATGTATGCGCATATGTATATACAGCATGTATGTATGTATGAATGTATGC